CAGAAGGGACAAACCAAACACTCTAGATAGGAGCTGGCCAAGTGTTGTCTTACCTGGTGTTTTCATTACATAAGTAGTTCAAAGTAGGACCTGTTCTGACCCTTGAGTTTTCCAGTTAAAGGTTCAGTGTGTAGGATTTAGAGCCATCTAGCCGTGTAGTTGTACTCACTTGCTTCATCTTCCAACCGTGAAGGAGAAATGAAATGTGAAAAATGCAAAAGGCCCTATTGAGAGTCAGTGTTTGGCTTGTCCCTTCTGGGCTGCTGTAGAAACATGGCAGTTCAACATGGTGGCCACCGTAGAAGAGGACCTGTGGCGTCTGTAGATATAAACGACTCATTCTAAGGTAACAGAAACACAATGATGCTTATATTCAGGTGATTGTACACTAATGAAAACATATATATGAATATTATATTCTATTTCTGTCAGTAGATCCTCCTAAATGTTACATACTGGACCTTTAAATGTTCTTTTTTAAAACGCAAATCCTGTATGCCAGATGTATGACTTTTCCCAGTTGTCTTCTTGAAATATGCAGTATTTCTGCTCAAAAAAGAGAGTTTCATGTACAGAAAACTAATCCTTTATTTATCAGGACTGTTAAAATACATTCCATACACATGATTCAGTTGTTTTAAAATGGTAAGGTTGCTAGCCGAAAGGACATGTGGTAAAAGAGAGATGAAAACTGTGGATATTTTAGGTACATTATCTGTGCTCCCTAGGGCTGACTACTGTTGGAAATATGTTGGTTAAATATCTTAAATTATTTTTCCCTAATATGTTAAAATATAACTTTTTTTATTATGAACTTTTTTTTTCAATTAACAAGAGGGTAAAGTTTTGTTGCCTAAAGAGCTTTGCAAGAACTAAAAAATAATACCGTTTATACCGTAATACCATTTATTGTTATTTTTCCAGCCTATTGTGTTAGTAAAATACCACAAATAATAAAACCTAATGAGATGTTTTATAATGGCACAGATATTATTCTTTTGCTCTCTTTACTTTATTTATGAACCTATCTTGATGTCAAACACCGGATTTAAGGATCACGTTACTTACATTGTTTTACCTCCTTCACATTACGTAATTCCTCCCACAGAACGAGACAATCTGACAGGAGCAGCTATTGTTTGGCCTGAATGTAAAGACAGTCGTGGTGAACGGCAGCAGCCATAGAAAGAGGCAGATAGAGTTGTGTAAGTTTGATCGACAGCTCTGGATTAAGGCATTATGCAACACTGTTGGGAGTAAAAAAAAATAAATCCAGATGAGATTAGGATCTGGATCCTCACTCTCTCCAATACTCTCTGTCCATCCATTCATCCGTCTCTCCCTCTTTCTGTTTCATGTAACAACATTATGACAATAAGGTGTTACAGTTAAAACTGATGGGTTGAGTAAGTGCATTACAGCTTTACATTCACATCGAGAGGTTCGACATTTCAGTGCTTTTAATACAAGGAACAATTAAGCAAATGACCATCCTAGCTTCCAACCAACAGAGAGACAGATAAAGCAAATTAGGCCATATAGACAGGAGCTAAACCTCCTCTCTTCAAGCTTTTATCCCACTGCCATCTAGAGGAGGAAATCATGCTGCAACATCTGTTCTGTCTAAATAAAAAAACATTTTACCCACTTGTTGTTTCTGCTGTAAATCCGATCTGCTATCAGCCTGTGAAAAGGGCAAGTAAATAACAATCATGTATACCACACTGTACTGAAACTATAATGCTGAAATGATCAATACAGAATTAATTCACTTTAAGAAACTAAAAAAAATAAATAAATAACAAATACTTCCTGGCTTTCAAATCTATTAACTGTTAACCAAAATAATTCATCCAAAGACACTTTTTTTTTTAATCCTCTGGTATCTTGTAATGGACACTTTTCATTATTGTATGGCCTAAACGATTCATTAGTTAACCTGATATTGTAATAAATCCTCACTGAAACAGGTACAGGAACATCAGTGCTTGTTTAGTAACATTTACACACTTCACATCACACCAATCATCTTAATAAGGCAACATATTGATCGGGACCCTCTCCTAAGCACCAGGTCGCCCAGCAGGTGTGTGCAACAGGGCCGCAGTGTGGATATTGGAGTTCGTGTTTCAGTGCCATGACAAACTCTTTAGGAGTGAAGGTTTATATAATACAAATTTTATTACTTTTTTCACAACTCACAGCTAAAAAATAATAATACTCCTGGTACTTGACAACAGAGCTCAAGTCACTTTTCTTTCTTCTTTCCTAAAAAATAAGTCCAAACAAGAGCTCCTGACAGATGATTCAGACGCAGGTGGGTTGAGCTAAAAAAACCCTCAACTTGAAGGTTAAAACAATTAAAAAATAAACAGTCTGTTTCTACTTTGTTACTGTGACACTGGACAAAATGAGGTTTCATGAGTGGAGAAATCATTCAGCATGAATCAGCACTATTTCAAAATTAAATTTACTTCAAAATGAGCGCAGAGCATAGCTGTCAGAAATCAGAAATGTATTGAACATCCTGTTGAAAAACACTCATGAACAGGACAGAGAGATGCAGCCACTGAACGTCTGAAACCATCTGACCATAAATAGGCACATAAAATTCATTCATGAATCGCACTGAGAACAACAAGCAGGTGCGGTTTCACAGAGCAACCTCGGGGGCAGACGGACATCTTCCAGTTGCATAAAGTAAAATGTTTTTTTTTTCTTTGCAATTTCTCTTGTGACTTCCTAATACAACACATGTAACTTAATGCATACTTCAAGATGCATCCTGTAATAAGACCACATCTTTTGAGTGCCCCCTTCAAGTTTTTAAGGAATTTCTGACAAAGAAAAGTCTGTTTTTTTGTTGCATAAAATGTCTTCAGCAACAAAAGATAAAAAGGAAACTGAAGGTACCCTTAAAGGCAACTCAGATAAAGTCATGGTAGAGTTTTATTTAATGGACTACCACCATAAGTGTGCCAAGAATAGTGTTTAGTGTGTATATTGGACTACTTGTTTTGTTCCAACAAACCTCCTAATTCAAGCTGCAGGAAATAAAAACATCTTAAAGAGAAAACCTTTCAATGCAACGAGGCAGTTTAGAGCATCTTCCTCATCTGTCTGCCCATCAGTCTGGTTATAGATGTGTAAAGCCAGCCTAACTTGCAAGTCTGTGCAAACTATGAGTCTCTGTATCTGAATGAATAATAACATGTGTATTATTGGCCTTGTTGTTTGGGGGGTTCGGGCTGCAGGCCAATAGCGCACTGTGCATGTTTCTAGGTAATTAGCAATGAGTTTATTAATATAAGCTACATAAACTAGCCAGCCAGCTATTTTTACATCCGGCCTACGAAAAGTCAGTTTGTACTTGTTGAAAATAAATTGTCATCGCTCGTAGTTTTATACAAAATAGGGCTGGATCTGCTGTCTTCAAACACCTCGGTGTCCTCTCTACTGTGAGTCTCTCTCCGGTTCACCCATCACACTTTCTTCCGGACGTTAAAAGCCACCGAGTTCCCGTACAGCAGCCGGTCCCGCTCCCGCACCTCCTCCTGCAGCTTGGCCTCGGCCACACGGAGCTGGCGTATGGTCGCCTTCATCTCCTTCATCTTCACCTCCATCAGCGCGATGATGTCCCGCTGCTCGTTCAGTTTGCGCAGCAGCTCCGCGGACGTGGTGCCGGTGGTCAGCGAGTACGAGTGGTCCAGCGGGCTGCTGGTCACACTGACGTACTGCACGGGCGGCTGGTGCACGGTGGACGCGGTTTCGACCGAGGAGTCGTCGGCGGTCAGCTCGTCTGCGCTGACGATCGGCGCGGTGTAACAAGTCCCCTCCGACTGAGCGGGCAGCCGCGCCGTGCCCAGGTACTCCCCGTTCTGGCCTATCTGGACCACGGTGATGCTGTCGTCGCTCGCCTCTCCCCCGGCGTTGCCCTCGGCTCCCTCGGCCGCGCTGCCCAACACTCCCAGCACGATCCCGGAGGTGGCTGCGGCGGCGGGGGCAGGAGCCGCCGCGG